GCGACGTCGGCCTCTCGGCGTCGGACCGCACGCACAACCAGGAGCGCGAGACGCGGCAAATCAACCTGGACGAGGACTGAACGAGCAATAAACGCGCGCGCACGTTCACGCCCTTTGTGTACTGGTGCTTTTGTCCGCGGGGCGGTGGCCAACCTGCTCGTTTTCCACCTCTGATTCTGGGATCCAGGATTCAAAGTGTTGTTGCGAACGATTGAGTGAGTGGGTGATTGGACCAGTGGAGGGGTGGACGAGTGGGTGAGTGGACGAGTGGGCGAGTAGACGGATGGGCCAGTGGACAAGTGGGAGAATAAAGGAGTGGTAGTGGTGAGACGTATGAGTTGGGCCAAGTAGGACGATGTGAGCGAGTAGACGAGTGGCCAGTAGACGAGTGGGCCAGTAGACGAGTGGCCAGTAGAAGGTGGTGGCCTTGTGAGGAAGAGTGCCAGATAGACGATGCGGCGTAAGCCACGAAGTAAGGCCAGTAGCAAGACTGGAGCCAGCATAAGTACTGGTTGTGGCCAGTAGTAACGTAAGTGTGAGGTACCAGTAGTAACGAATGCGGCCTAAGTAGACGATGAGAAGTAGTGGGCGAGTAAACGATGTGGAGCGAGTAGACGGTGGGCAGTATAACGAGGTGCGATAGACGATAGTGGGCTGAAGTTAGACAAGTGCGGCGAGTTAGACGCACTATATGGGCGAGAGGCAATTGGGTGCGAAGTGAGCTAGTGACAAAGTGCGTGAACTGTTGAACGGAAGACGAGTGGCTCGAATAGATGAGTGAGTGGTCTAGGGGTTGAATGAAGCGACTGGGTGTGTGGGCGGGTGAACGAGAGGCTGAGTATGCCAGAGGCACAGTGAGCGGGCGGGTGGTGTGTGGTTTGGCGGATCGGTGGATTGGCGAGTGGGCGAGTAGACGAATGGGTGAGCGAGTTTTGTGTCGAGGCGCGTACTTCACTGAGGGCCGTTAGTGCTGTAACTGCAATGCATGTTATATCGCGAGAGACGGCGGAGTGCCGCCCGTTGATATCCGACACCGACCTACACGTCGACTGGCGGTGTTTTCCTCTTAAGGCATGCTGAAACTCTCCTACTGTTCACCCGACATGTGTAGATGTAAAGTGCACGTGAATGCGTAAAAGAAGATTATGAGATTAGAATGAGGAAGGAATGATGCCCGGTGGATTAATACAATGATTTCAGGAAAAATTATTGCCTACATAAATTTTGTTGGCAAAAATCAAGGAGAGACTAGGGCACGTTACTAGGGTTTAGACGTGGATGTAGATATTTTCGAAACATCGATGTTTTTATAAAATCATGGATGTATTTATCATCGATTTCTTGAAGTCGAAGTTTTTAACATCGGTGTGTTGTGTTCGATGTTTTTACGGGACCGATATTTTTTACGTAATTAACCCATTACTTCCCGTTGTACCCATATGGTAACATTTGCGCAAGTTCAAACTTTCATTTTTCTTTCCTTCCCCGGTCTGAATCTGAGGGAAAAGGATGTTCCAACTTCTTTCTGAAACGTTGCGGCTTATTATGAGTGCTTGCCCAGTTGCTTATTTGCATTTGGCGAAACTGGACATCGCATCATTTGAAAATGGAAGAACGGTTTGACGTTGACTATCTTCGATGTATTTTGAGGTAAAGTATTTTGAATGCAATTTTTCTGAAGTTATTTTATCATAATATTGCTCTAGAGATGTAGTACGATTATTATTTACGATTATTATTGAAAAATTACTTCTAATTTGTAGAAAATAATGTTTTTTTGCGTTACCATGTGAGTGCAATGGAAACTTAATTAAACAAAATTTCAGATAAAACCGTACCATTCTGACGTCACAATTTGTCTCTTACTAAAGTGTAGTGAGTTTTCACATCTTTGTCAAAAACGAGGAAATTTCAGTTGGTACATTTCCCATCCTGGCAGAAACAAACAAACATCTGTACACTCGCATTGTAGCAACCGCCCTTTGTTTCCACCGAGTATGATATTTCCACCAAATGAAAAGAAACAGCTACATCATGTATTGGACTTTCCACCGGAAAGGAACACCAAATTGCAGCGCCCTCGCGGTCATAGGAGATAAAATATATTGTTTCGAGCAGTTTTCGAGATGCGTCTTCCCGGACCACGAACCCATGAGGGTGTACGTCTTCGATTGTCGTTGCCGACGCAAATACACCACAATTTTGCCCAAACCCGGGGACGAACAGTACGATTTGGCCCCTACTCATCGACACGGTCATACAGCAGTCGCCTACGGTTCAAACGTCTACGTTTGGGGCGGTAGGAACGTCGAGGATTCCTGTGACAAGCTGTACTGCTTTGACACGATCGCCTTGCAGTGGAGTCTGCCTACCGTGAAAGGAGATGTCCCGAAGACCAGGCTCGGCCACACAGCCTGTGTGGTCGGTGATTGCATGTACGTTTACGGCGGAATGGAATATTACACGCGGACGTTTTCGAAGGAAGTTTTCGTTCTGGACCTCCTCGCCATGAAGTGGAGATGTGTCGTGGCAAGAGGAGATCCGGCATGTCCCTTTTCTTCGGTATCTGTGCTTGGGAATCGCATTTACATGTTCTGTGGGTGTGAAAACATGCATGGAAGTTGTCAGGGTGTTGGAGGCATGAATTACTTTGACACGGTGAACGGAACGTGGCATAAACCTCCGCGCGGATCCGTTGCATATCCCATACCTGTAAGATGCCGGTCTACCTTTGTGTACGGGAAACACATCTTCGTTTGTGGGGAATTGGACGGTATGTTCGGGAGTGACGTATACAGATATTCTCCCGACAAATGCGAGTGGGATGTGATAAAAACAATAGGAAACGCTCCGATTTTCTACAACGCTCTGTCTTGCGTAGTTGTGAAAAACCAGGTATTCTTTTTTGGTTGGAGAAATGATCTGCATATTTTGGAGTTCGCCCCCACCTTACGTACTTTGTGTTTGAACGCTGTACTCAAATACGACCTCGATGTGAGCTGCCTTCCTGAAGATATTAAACGTGATTTGTACATCATAAATAATAACTTTGTGGATACCGGTGGCCCAATACCTGAAATGATGTAGAAAATACATTTTTTATGCATACTCTTTTAGTTTTCTGTCTAAAATATATACGATTGTCCCAATGTTTTTGTAAACATTTATTCGAACGTTTACTCAAGTTTCGAGATATTGGACTTGGTTTACAAAACAATTGAAACGTGATATGTAACTATTATGAGTTGATTAGTTATGTTAATGCAATTAATGTAAATATGTAAATAATGTAAAAAATGTATTTTCATTATTCTTTCCGTCAAGAGAATGTGCTCCATGGCTTAGTATTTCATTTAAATAAGCTTGCTTAAGGTAAATCGTGTATTCATTTTCTATTACCAACGATTGTAGAGAGTCTTATAGAGAGATGTGCTTTACCCAAAGGCTACAACCAAAGAGCTAATAAAAAAACTTAAAGAACGCCTAGAAAATTTCACCAAAAATACTGCTATTCTTGCTGGAAGAACCATTTTTTTATTTTTCGATTGCCGTATGGTGTTCGTTTTCCATGTCGCGAATCGCAGTGTTGTATGCGAAAGAAACAACGTTCTATTGATTAATTTGTTGTGCGGTAATAGTTATGCATATAACATGGAGTTTAACCAGAGTTTTATTTACGAAGTAGAATTCTTACCCAGTCAGCGGTTGAATGTGACATCAATTGATCTTTTGATCCCCCCAAGCCGGTTCAGGTTACGGTGATGCACTGAGGCTACGAGGTAGCTAAGTTACCAAAGAATATAAAGATTATGGTTAAATTTAGGAAATCTGACTGTACTAATAGTAATTGCAAAAATTAAAAATTCTTAGAGGCGAAAGCATAATTATTGTGGGGATAAATATATGTAGATGTAGTGTACTTGTTCTTTATAAAGTCCTCACTTAAGCTTTGTCTCTAAGTTTTGCTTCTTGATTTATTTTCATAACGTAGTCACTGAATGATTTTCGTTTCTATAGAAAAGTGGGATAAACTATACTACTAATTTGTGAGCATCACTGAACTTTCTCTCTCGCGATTTAAATCTTATTGACTTTCCTATGCAATGACTTGTCGAGGTTTGCAATGTCTTAATTACTAATTAACTTAATGTAAAATACCTCCCCTCAAAAAAATCAAAATATCCTTTTGAAACTTGCATTCATTCACATTCATTGATAGTCATTCACATTTAATGGTGCGCTTCGGTTCGTTTATATCGACTGGTACACGAAAAAAAAAGAACAGTTGCAGTATACCAGAAGTTACCTTGTTACAGTATCATGGATCCGGTATACTACAACTGTTCTTTTTTACGTGTAGATGTGTATTTCGGAGAAAATTGTCTGAATGGTTTAGACGCCAGGGCTGATCAATGGCAGACATTTTTGTCGTCAATCGATTATTAAGTATCAAGGACCTAAAACATGGATTTTGACTACACAACGTTTCAGATTAGGGTAACTACAATTTACTACACATAGGAACAAGATGCATCCTCTTTTTCTTTACCAGGGCCTGGCAAAAATAGGTTTTTCTATCAAAAACTCGCCGTTTACCCCCGCAGCATTTCAAAATTTTCTCTATACTGCTTAAACACAATGCGAGAAAGTAAAAACAATATCAATATTTGACTAACGTGTTTAAAGTTTTTGCTGGTGGCAATGTTATCGTTTACAGTTTCATTTTCCACACAATTTAACACTGACGGACGTAATGCACATGCTCCATGTTGCTAGCGATCTTCCTCACACGGTAAGTTTTGCGGACATTGACAGTCATTCACATTTAAGGATGCACTTGCACAAGTTCTAGTTTGGCCTCGAACTTCATTATCCGGCCCTTTGCTTCGAGATGGCGAGAGTAAAACCAGCCACGTGGTACAATATTTGTCCAACAGAGTGCAGGGCGACCTCTCTCTGTTTGCACTACGTCACTCATCACAGTTCATAGAGCACCTTCCAGAGAGCTGCAGTGGTCGTGGATCGGCGAGAGAGTGGAATCAGCTGTTTAGTGCACATGCTGTAATACATTGCTTATGATTTGAACTGGAAACAGGCAGTGTCTTAGCTTTTGAGGTGGTTAGAGATTCGCTGACAGTAGACCATCAGAATGGCTATCAAGTTAGTTTCATGTAGACAAATATTTCGAAATATCGGTGTTGTCAAAGGCAAATATCAGTTTGACAACTGCGCAAATCAATGGACAAGATCACAAAGTACAATTTGTCGTGCATTGGTGTATCCAGATTATGGTGACCCTGCAAAAATGCTCAAGGAACAAGAAATAGAACTTAGGGAGCCCGAGGATAATGAGGTATGATTATTTTGTAATGCTAATGAGTCAAAAAATGTGGTTTTACTTTATAATAAACACAATAAGAAAAATGCATATGATCGCTATTAATTCATTGAAAATAAAGTACAAATCAATTAACGTTTGAATGTGCGCCTTATGCTTTGCCAGGTAGTTTATACTCCGACCCACTTTCATAGATCGACTGTTAAGAACCGGCGGACCTGCTTTTAAAAGGGGATGGTAGTCTGGAAAGAATTGTGACATCACAAATTTCAGTTTGTAAATATTAAATACACCACAGGTAACCACACCAATATTCGTTAAATATACCACGAGTAACTTTGGGAGGTACTCCCCAAACAATTAAAATCGACGATTTCGCTAATTCCTGTTTGAATTTAACAATGTATTGACGTTGCTTCCAAGATATTCCATGAATTTCTTCATAACTCAATTAAAATTATTATTGAAATTGGTTCTAAAATGTCCATATCTTAACACAAACTTAAAAAATAAAGTTTGCAATATATATATATATATATATATATATATATATATATATATATATATATATATATATATACACACACACATATATATACATATACACACACACATACTGGAGCATTCCATCTTCGTAGATAATTCATGAAATCATTTCTTAAATTATTGATAATTTTTAAAACATATTAAACATTTTAGTTAGTAATTTATAATATTGACTTTTCTTGTTTTCCTCAATACATGAGAGCGCAAGGATGTTTTGTCGAGGGGAAATTAGTCAAAATTTATATCATTTGTTTATATATTTATTTACTTTCTAACTTAAACATGGAGAAGTGTGAATTGAATTCATGCGTTTCTGCGTTCATTTCTCCCATCATGCTCTGCGAGAATCTAGTACATTATTCCCATAATGCACAAAATGCTTCTACCTGTTCTGGATTCAAATGTACGGCATCAGCAGTCATTTTATTTAGTTGGTTTTGGTGGAAGGATATGGGGAGGGGGAGGGGAGTGTCATCTGAACATTTTAAGACGAGGTCCCTGGCCTTATAGAATAAATGTGTCATTTCCGTAAATACGTTAAATTCCTGATACAAAATGACGAATATAAAGTGCGGGTACTATATTTTAAACCATACAGTGAAGACAAACGCATGGGCACAGTATAACGACATAATGTTATTTTGTATGTAGGAAGTATTTAGGTATATTAATTTAAACATTATCCGCGTTTTACTTGGTTTTAAAAGTCAGCTGTAAGTTCTCAGTTGTAAAAGTTTATTGTTCTGTAGTCAGTAACACGATGACTCGCTAATTAATAATTAAAATTAAATTGATGTTTATTTATGATTTTTTTATTTTTGCCAAAAATAGTGCGTAAATGCTCAAAATTACAAAATAATACCTAATTTTGGAGACAAAAAAGGGAAGAAACTTTAGAATTTCCCCCTGAAAGGTGGCCAATTAGGACGCCCCCCCCCCGCACACACACACACACACACAAAATGCGTCAAACATTTTTTTAATCTATCAAAAACCGCTAAAAATAGTAAAAAGGCGACGAAATATCACGATAAAATGCGTCCAAGTCAGAGACGATTCCTTCTGTAATCACCTATAAATACTTTTTAAAATATCAAAAACAGACTAAATTTGTTTACAAGTAAAATCTATTTTTTTAATGAATGGATATGTTGGCCACAGTTCTTTAGACTGCTCACGCCTATATAGCGTACACATATTTCTTGTTATGGCTTGCAGTATTACTTTTACTTGGAATACTTACGACTAGGGACCCGTAACATTACAGGTTCGCTTTCATGTGTAAAGATGTGAGCATTTCGTGCCCGTCTTTTTGGACATCTTTACCCTGTTTGACCGGTCTTAACTTTCGTAGCTATACTATCTCAGAAAGCCATTTCAGGACATTCCCAATGAGTGGCAAAAAAAGAGCGAGTAAGTGGATTTTGAACTATGAAAATGACATCCGAGTTTATTAATACGCATGTACTTTGATCATTACGTAATTCCACTGGTTACAGAATAGTTAATCTTGGCATCTCTAGAATGTCACAGTGATAACAACAGCAACGCACGATATATGCATTCATTGATGCAGATCACAGTGATAGAAATCGCTCCGAGCATAATACCTCTAACCGAGAGGTCCTGCGTTTGAGTCCCAAGGTGGCAGAATTTTCGACACTAACGATATGGCTAGTTCAAATTCAGCCGCTGTTTAGAGAAGAAATCTATCGGCCGGCTGCTCTGATCGGTAGTTTTCCGTTTTATCTACGATCAACTATAGGCGAATGCCGGAGCGGTACCCTGACAAAACGGTCACGTATGTGGCACGTCCCGCCGCGATCTTTCCTTCCTCTTCCTGGCCCTGTCATTTCCCTTACACTTATATGCACTACACGACCATACATGCCGGGAGACCGGTCGGGAGCTTAGAGCTTGTCCCAGCTGGAGCAGCGCTCCGCTGGTGGGAGATACCTGGTTGGGGAAACCCCGCAAGCGCGACGTGTATGTTGTCCCCGGATCTCGCATCGCAGTGTGGGAAGATCACAACATCTCGCAATTAAAATATGCACTATACTTATAGGACTAACGACCTTAGCAGTCTTTTAAAAAATTGGAAATTGTGTGTTGTGTCCAGTGTAACTGTCGAAGCAAAAACGGAAAGAAGCTTTCGCATATACCTTTGGAAATAACCCAATATAGTCTCAAATCCTCCATAAAAAAGCTAAAATTGAGGCACAATTATATAAATATGCCTAAAAATAAAAAAAAAAGTCAATGCATGAAAGTATCATGCAGAAATGCGTTCGATGTCGATCCCTCCTACAACCGGCGAAAAATATATTTGAGAAATTTAAAAACAGAGTAAAAGTTTTCTACAAGTAAAATACTGTATGAAAACTAAACTTATAAAGTTTAATGGATAAAGAGTCCCACAAATGTAGTTACCCCACCCATCTTGTTTTAGACTGCACACTCCTTTGCCTATTTACCCAATATGCTCTTGTCCTGGTGCGCATTCTTAGAGGCTGGGATTGATTAGAGATTCCGGGCGCGAGAACTGCTAAGCTCATTAGTCCGCTCGGTGTAGTGCATGTTTTTTTTTATCGCGATAGATGGCGGTGATCATTCCCCCCCTAGATGGCGAGATGCGGTGCCAACCTACCCGTCGGCTTGCAGGTTTTTCCCGAACCAGGTATCTCCCACCAGCGGGTGAGGATAGGACAAGGAAGAGGATGAAATATTGCTCGCGGTCCGTTGCCCGTTTATTGGGAAACTTCTCCAGCTAGTGTTGATCGGAACATTACCGATCAGAGCAGCCGGCCGGTGAATTCCTCTTGCAGACAGCGGCTGAATTCTATCTAACTTGAGTCGAAAATCCTGCCACCGGTGGAACTCGAAGCCAAGGACTTCCTGGGCAGAGGAATAGTGTTTGAATAGTCCTTCCTTAGTTCTTAAATAGTTCCTTGAATAGTTTCTTAAGGGCTCCTTCCCACGACGCCACTCAGCAGCGCTTCCGAGAAGCGGCAGCAGAACCCTCCCCAAGCTGCCACCGGCCCGCGCAACTGCGTATGGAAGGGGCAGAGTTCTGGAGTCGTGACGCGTCGAGGTGAACATATGCTCAGAAATATTGTTGACAAAAATTGAATATGCGACTATTTCCTCCAATTCCTTTCGTATATCAATTTTAATAAAAGGATCTTAAAGTCTTAAATCAATTATCACACGTTACATACACATTTGCCCGTACAAAACTGGCAAAGGAGACGCTCATTAGTTTCAGTAATGCAGGTTGTCGCTACGAGATATACACGCTGATAAGAAATTTTTGGTGAGACGTTGGTGGTGGGAGTCTGCCTCTGAGCGCCACAGCAGCGCGACTCCGCCACTCGCGGGAAGACCTCCATTTAAACCAATGTTTTGCTAAAGCAGTCAAGCCACTCGGAAGCGTTGCTGAGTGGTTCCGTGTGAATGCACCTTTTGAGGCCCTTCCCACGCCGCCACCGCCACACGCCGTGGATGGGGAGGGCTCGGCAGGGGTAGGGTTCGCCGACCCGTCGGCGACCCCGAACAAGGGACGCAGCAGGTAAAACGTCGCGACCGAGTGTTCCAGTGGGGAGACCAATGCTTGGCTAGCAGTGGGGGTCTGCCGCTTATCAGAAAAGGCGTCTTAAGGGTACGCACCCTTAAGACGCATTCACACGTCGCCACGACGTCAAGCTGCCACCGCTGCACGCCACTTGCCGCCTCCTGCCGCGGAAGTGGGTGGGTTCTGCAAGGGTAGGTTTCGCCGACCCTCCGGCGACGAGGAACGAAGGCACAGCAGCAGGTAAAACGCCGCGACCGGCGGAAATGCTATAATTTAAAGCTGTGTTCTGCTGGGGCGTATGCTCTCCTCCGCCACTTGCCGTAGCGGCGCAAACCCGCACGTGGGGAGCCCTCCATTGAAACCAATGCTCTGCTACGAGCAGCGGTGTTGAATTGAATTGAATTGAATTGAATTAATGCCTCATTTTACGTGGCGGGACTCGGGCCATTCCTCGGACCACGCTCCTTTCCCCAACTAGCAGAGAAGACGATTTTGAATTTAGCTCAGAGGCTCATTTAGGTTTGAGGATCTTTTACATGCAAGTAAATCTACTAACATGGGACAGACGGCTTTACTTCCCCTCCGGCGGAAGGAAGGCGTACGCAGGATTTTTTCGCCCTTAAAAATCCACGGCTTCGATCGGGTTCGAATCCGCCAACTTGGGTACAACAGTCCGGTACGCTAACCGTAACACCATCGCCACCGCCGCCTTCCGGTGTTCAGAAGCAGGCCGCGGTGGCGACATGAGATGGACCCTTGGTCTCCTGGTTTGGAAAGTGGTTCTAGCGGCACTTTGGCGTAGGTGATGGTACGCATGCTGGCCGCGCCGGTGAACCCGGCCGACATCAACACGGTGCAGGGCTTCTACCCGCTGAAGCCGCCGCTGCCGGCGGTGGGCGGCAACGAGGGCGTGGGAGAGGTGATGGCGGCGGGCGGTGCCGTCAAGGCTTTGCGCGTGGGCGACCGCGTCGTGCCGCGCCATAAGGGCTGGGGTACGTGGTGCACGCACGTGCTCTGCCCGGAGGACCACCTCACCAAGGTACGCGCGTGTTACGAGGCACGAAGTCTTAGATGGGAGACTCAATCTGGAAACCTGGTTCATTGGGTAATTCATTCACTCATTGGTGTGAACATAGTGGGGAGAGGGATCGTGTTCCCTGCAAATTTTCAGAAGGTCCCATTGCTCTTCATAATAAAATATGTTATATCCTTAAATGTATTCAATCCTTGATTTCCTTTTTTTAATCTGAGAAGTTGTGAAATTGCTATATGACATTTTGGGACAACTGTCTGGCCACTATGTAGATGGTTCAACATAAATTCAATTTTATTTACTAACTGATTCATTGAAATTACAGTTACATTCATTCTCCTGAAATGTTTTAATAATTTATATGCATTTTAAAAACTCACTAGAAAAGGAGGCCCAAAATTGTAGATGTTTGACATTGCACACTACTATAAATATTTATTTAATTGCCTGTCCGGGTTGTGCCGCATCCGTGGCAAAGGGCCTGACGTTTGTCAAGGCACCTTTGCCATGGGCGCGGCATCATCCGGACAGCCAATTAAATACTGACTCCGGCCACGGAAGCCTACGCTCTCAACTATAAATATTTGCACATACTTTTCCACATAATTTATATCAATTCATACACATTTTTTTTAGTAATGATATTGGAACAAACTAAATCACTCATGGCAACTATTTCTAGTCTTGTACTGATCCCTGAATTGTTACTTCCGAGGCATCAGCGGCTGATAAAAGAAAACATTTAGTAGAGCAATGTGGTTTTCAGTTAATCTCACAAATGTTAGAGCCTGTTAGTAAATTATTGGGAAATTGTGCTTTGGATTTGAGAGTTGGGCAGTATCTCTACATTGCCATTACTTTCTTTCTCTTCCTCCTCCCTTCATAAAAATTCATATAATTTCATACTTCCAACACTGCTTTATACTAATAATTTGCCCAATGTCATTTGTAAATAGACAATTAACGTTTTCAGATTAAGAACATTTTTCATTTCAGGTTTCTAAGGAACTAGGAATTGCTGAAGCAGCGACGTTAACAGTCAATCCATGCTCCGCATATACCATGCTCAAAGATTATGTAGACTTGAAACCAGGTGATACTGTCATTCAGAATGCTGGGAACAGTGCCTGTGCCCAATATGTCATTCAGCTTTGCAAAATTTGGGGGCTGCGCTCTATCAACATTGTTCGCAATCGACCGAATATTGATGAACTGAAAAAGTTCCTCACGGACTTGGGGGCGACCTACGTTGTCACAGAAGAAGAAACTAAGTAAGTGTAATAATTGGGGTCGGATTTTAATGCAAATGCAATATAGTCAGAAAGGACCATGTATTGGTTGCATGCATGTTTGATACATGTATGAAACACCCTATATCCAATTATATTATCATGATTTTATTGTGGATATTATGTAAATTTTTTAATATATTATGAATAAGTATCATATATCTACATGTTGCAACTTCTTCTGCAAGGATTTTCCTTAAAATGCTTGTTACACAAATTTATTTCTATTTTTTTTAATTCATGTATTTCATGTTCTTTTGTGAAATGAGTATATGTATTTGTGCTTCACATGATCCATTGGAACTAACATCAACATTCTGTGTTGGAATAATGCAAGATATTGAAGTGGGAAAACAAGATAATTTTGTGTAATATGTCATAGAATTCATCTTGAAAGTTGGATGCTGATGAGCTTGTTCACATAACTTGTTTCGCCTCCAATACCACATGTCACAGTGAGGGTTCCCTGTCAAATATGAGTGAAATAAGGTTTAAAAGAAAAGTGACATCTCATTTGAAGATGCATATACTTTAAAGAATATATTGCGGTGCATATTTGCTATGTTTTTTTGCATAAAGTATACACATTTAATCGATTATTAAAGCATATAAATCTGGTCCCTAATTCATAATATATTATATATCATTGCAATTATATTACAACCTCCTCTTATTTTTATTATCCATTTTCAACTAGTTTTTTATTTCCAAAAGATTTATCATTAAAAAAAAATCATACTATCTAAAAGTGAGCCTTTACTTGGTATTCTTGCAGAATGCTTGTCTTTACATTACTTCTATCAAAACCTTGACAGTTTAATATTCCTTAATGTGGAATCACATAGAAATGCGTAGAGGCGGAGGGTGCAGGGGAACCAAGGCTTCATAGCCTTACGTAATAAAATAATTAATTTCTGTAAATACGTTAAATCATTGATACCAAAAGTAAAGATACACTTTAAAAACAACAATGATGATGACAAATGCATGGATGCATGAGTCAATCTATATACTGTTTCTGTGTATGTTTGAGTAAATATTATTGCGTTCTTGTCTAGATTATGCATTTTGTTAAATTTCAGCTTTTTACTTAGTTGTAAAAGTCAACAGTGTTATACTGTAGTCATTAACATATAGACACCCTATTTTCCAATAATAGTATGTGGACATTTGTAATTTGTGAAAATATAGTCGTCGATTTAATTTCATGATTATTTTTTATCATTTCCCCAAAAATTACAGTCTTGTTTTTTGGAACATGTTTTGACAATGTTGTTTTATAAACTTTATGAACTCATATCAAATGCATTACATACCAATTTAATGGAATAAGTATCTAAAAAAAAATATTAAATTTTACTCAAACACTGAAAAAATTACAAATTGTGTACTAAAACCCAGTGCAATGGATGAATTTAGGGCAAAACTTTGAGAAACTTTCAAATCTAACTTTGAAAGGTGACCAATTTAGACTTGATCCGCCTTTATATACTCTTATAATATGTCAAAAAATTGAATAAAAACAGCTAAAAACAAAAAAATAGATAAAATTATCTTGAAAAATGCCAAGTCAGAGTTGTTTCCATCTCCAAACTCTCAAAATAAATTTCAGCAACTGTTATCCACCTTTCTTGGTAACATGGGCTCACAAAATGAAATTCTCAGTCAAAAAATCACTTTATTTTGCAGCAGCTTTACAGTACTCTATACTACATACTAAGTAGTATGCAAGAAAGGAAAAAATAATTATTATTATATATATTATTATAATAATTATTATATATAAATATATAATTAAATATTTTGAAAATTCTTTTACAAGAAAATTCTCATATGAAAAAAAAAAAAAGGTTAATAGTACCTAGAAATGTTGTCCCCCCCCCTTTCTCTGATGATGATCACAGCTATGTTAAATCAGATCACAATTTGTTTTCCAGTAAATTGAAATTAACATTAATTTATAAAACAAAGCAAAACAGTATTTTCTGTTCATGAGCTACAAATTTGCTTCATTTGAAATTATCTTAATGTCTACAATTCTTGTTTTCATACACAGTTTTTTCTTAAAATATGTTTACTTTCGTGATTCAATGCATCAATGAACTTAGGGTTTCAAAGTTTCTTCTTTAGTGGATAGCAAAATAATTATTTAAGGATGCAAAATTCTCTTGTATATTTTTCCATTAACTTTTATTTTCATTGTTTTACACAGAAATTTAGATTTATTTAAGAGCGGAAAAGAACCAAAACCAAAATTAGCTCTAAATGCAGTGGGAGGAAAGAATGCCTTGGATATGCTTCGCCATGTGGATAATGGAGGATACATGTTGACCTATGGAGGAATGTCCCATCGACCCGTCAGCATTCCAACCTCAAGTCTCATCTTCAAGGATATTCAATGCATTGGATTTTGGATGCTGTATGCAAGTCAAAGGCATAGTCCTGAAGAATCAGAAAGAATGTATAATGAACTGATAAAATTGATGGTGTCAGGACAATTGAAAGCTCCACATCATACATTCATGCCATTTACTCACTTCCAGGAGGCACTGGCAAACACAATTAATCCTAAGGGCCGTGTTGTTACAAAATATATTTTAGATTTCCAAAACTGTTAATTTCCAATGTTGTATTATTGACTTATTTTTGATGGTATATTTTAGGTGTTAATTGTTGGCCAGTTGAAAGTTTGTGTGTTGTCATAAAATTTATATTTTTGTAGAATGTATTTCTACTGACTGATTAAATGATATTGATAGTTTTATTATCAGAAAATTTTCAAAATGTGACAGTTTTCTACATGTACTCCTATTGAAATTTGGTATAAAAAAAACTTTACATTTTCTGTAATATTTTATTTTATAACCTGACCATGTGGGGGAGAAATTAAAATTAATTTCCAAAGGTTTGCTTAAAACTGAAATAACTTTTTTTCTTTCTTTAGAGGTGGGGCTAGCAACCACAAAACTTCCGCTGAACAAAACCCTACAAAATGGTAGCCTATTCCAAAAAGAACACTGCTCCAGAACAATAAATAAAATACTCAATATAACACTGCATTAAATTACGTTTTTTGGGGCTCCATAACATACTACTGTGTGTAAAGTCGCAGGTGCAATACATGTATTTAAATTTATAAGTAGGTTTCAATTGTCTCATGTTCTGGTACATTTTAAAGATTAACAGTTTAACATATTTCCAAAGATGATGCCGATATGTCACTTGGTATATCCATTTTAGATGCAAACCTCTTATTTGTAATAGTTTACACTTTATAGTATTTTTTGTGGGTCATTTGCCACGAGAGAAGCACCCGTACCAGCTTAAATACGCGGCCATCTCTAAGATTGGAGCAGTACCGACATCTGGTTTCGAAGGAGTGTTGTGTTTTTCGTATGAATCGTTGCCAACAGAGATCTCTGTTGTTCTGGCGACCCCGAGAATTGACCCAGACAACATCTGGCGGCACAACTGGGTACCTTATCACCAACATTGGTGTTCGCGATCTACGACAACCGAGCAGCGAAATGGCTACGACTTTGGTTAGGTGCAGGGAAATAGTGCGAAAAGTTAGTGTCATTGCCTTGAAAAATCAATTTGACAATTGTATGAGTCAAGGGTTTCGAGCGCAGAGTACTGTCGCAAGATCACTTGTATATCCCGAATATGGAGAACCTTCGAAAGTGATACAACAATTGGAGCAACCTCTTGCAGCACCCAAGGATAATGAGGTAAGATTACTTTTTAATAAGCTTTTTTCGTTTTCTTAGACTCCTAAATTTTTAAGAGCGCAAAGAATTTTTTAAAAATCCAAGTGCAGATAGTTGAAGAGTTGTCAAACATCTCGAAGTTTTCATCGGCCACACTCGACCGGCAGCAATTAATTTTTTGTTACCTGTGGTCATTGCCATTTTCAATACGATTTTCAATCTTCTGATGTATTATAAAGTTTTATCGTTTGTTTCTTTGATTATTATGAGCTGTATTGATCTCTTTTCTCAATGGTACATAATGCGTCGGTTGTAGTCGTGTTTTGTAAGAGATATGTTTACTGACATTTACAGCGTGAAATATTCGCCAAGAATATTTTAGTATTAGTTTCAAACTGTTGTTGTAATTTCCTCCAATGTGAAAGTTAATTTGGCTTGTAATGATGCAATTATAATATTGACCATCATTTTCATAATACGCGTTTTGTAAATGACATTTAAATAACCCTTTCGCCTATGTCATTTTGAAGCATGACAGTGGTGAATGATTGTCTAGTATTCGAAGGTCAAGGCATTTTTGTAACGTTAATACTTTCGCTTATTATTCCTTAAATGTAGGATTTTATTGAAATCCTCTCTTTAGTATCTACGCAATGTTTATCTCGCAATAGTCTTTGTTGTGTCAATAGAAGTTAAATGTCATAATTAACTTTCATTGCTTTTTTAGTTCGGACAGCCCTTATATTATGAATTATGTTGATTGGCTAAGCAATATTTTATTTTTAATATAATTTACGTTTTCACTAGTACGTAAATCAGGTGACGATTGCACGAATAAAATCTAATGGTATTTTCTGGTGAAAATTTCATTACGTTTCTAAATTATCGCATAATTATAAACTTTTGTTCTGCTCTTTTTAATAAAGAAAGAAGAAAATAAACCTGTCTTTGAGATCCGTGCCAACAACAGAACTTTGCTCATGTGACCGCCCACTGTGAACTTTTATTTACATGGACTTTGGCAATATATTGCAGTTAACTATCAATTGCTTGCTAATGATCAGTTGAAGTTAGATCCGGTATATTTTTTACGTTTTGACATTCCACGAAACAGATACGAGCGAGGTACATTGAGCCATGAGGTGTATTTGGTGTATTAGGATTTGCTTGTCTCGGTTTGAGCGGGCACTTTTCCGATGCAAATTGCAAAATTTAGTTTGTATTTTAATGTGACACGTCAATTACTTTGGAGCCAATTAATTCATCCCCTTATTACACCAGTCGTCATTCCACTCTCTAAAACTATGCCATTGTAATCTCACATTGTGTTTTCTTAATTTCACGTAAATAAATACGCGTTTTTTTTAAACTTGTTTTGCGTAACTGCAGTTTTCTGTGCCGTTGACATTCTCTCTCTAATATCAGGGATCTAACCGAAAAAACAAAATGGCTCATTACAATATAATTAAAATATATTTACTACGGATGCGACTATTTTCATGAATAAGTTTTGTCCAATTAACAATATTTGTATGTGTGAGAGCCTGTCCTTGGCCAGCTTTTCATATCTCCTTCGATAGCTCAGTTGGTAGAGCGGTGGACTGTAGTTGTGAACGTCGACAGACATCCATAGGTCGCTGGTTCAAATCCGGCTCGAAGGAAATTTTGTGAAATCAAACTTATTCCGTTAGCAGGACGAGATTTTCCTGAAATTATTGTATTATAATGTTTGTGATTTTTCCTGCGGGCAAGTGAAGAAAACGCATGGCACACCTGTTGTTTCAACGCCCAACAGATGGAAAGGTTAGACTCACTGTGTGAATTTGAGGTGCATTATTGTTATATCCGATACTTCATACATTGTAAAGAGCCATGCTGATATAATATAAAGAACACAAATTCAAATGCTTAATTAGATTATAAGTGTAAATTTGTACTCAAAACTAACATGCCCTTTAAATCTACATTATATAAGAAAATATAATTCAGATAATGAAAATTACAAAAATAATTATTTTAATTTTCGTACGTTTGTGGTGGCTTACAATATGTTAAGTAATTTGGTTATTATAATAGGTTACTACACTAATTTACTTACAATCATTACTTGTGGTGTAGGTAACTGAAAAAACTCGTCTTGTCAAAATTAAACAAAAATGTTTAAAGCTTCAAAACGAACCTGTTTTTAATTTTTGTTAATCAATGTTGCATAGAGTTCTGCATTTACTTTGGATCAAGAGTTGTTAGAGAGGGGAGCGTAAAGTTTGATAATGTGACTTTCAGCCCTAAATATAGTTTAAAATTGGGGAAAAAGTCCTTCGAGCCGGATTTGAACCAGCGACCTATGGATGTCTGTTTCTGTTCCACCTACAGTCCACCGCTCTACCAACTGAGCTATCGAAGGCCATACTGCTATTCTAAATGGTATTCAACACACGAAAACTCGTATCTTCTGTTCCGATGATTCTACCGAATTCTGTGAAGTCTGTTTTCTCTACATGTTAAATTTAAACGTTTCTATTATTTTAATATATATTATGATATTAAACTAGAGTTAATTTTAAATATTAAGAACAACATCTTGCCTATTTTAATTGTTGAACATTTTATCGTGGAATTTTTTTCCACAATTATTCAGTTTTGACTCGTTTTCCCTGCACCGTGTGTAATAATAATGTCATTGGCCCATTGAAGTGGTCACTACATTTCATAACATATAATATTAAATGTATTTGTATGCCGCCGAAAATCTTATGTTGTTTTCAAGTGGTGATGACCACGCGCACTAGAAAGGACGGATTCAGAAACTGTTCAGGGGGGCGTGGATCTGTCCTTACACTAAGAAGTCGCCTTTTCCTTTCAGACTGTGTCCACACACATCTCAGCCGTCCCACATCCACTAGAAGGGCCACGCTGTCCCTTTGAAAATGTTTTTGAACAGAATGTAAGGGGGCTGAGATCTATTTATTCCGTGATTGCTAATGTTATGAAGAGTTTTATTAGTTGTCATGCATTGTGGAGGAACTTTAATAAATCGTAATTCGGCCGATACAAAAAGGATTTGGTTCTCTTAAATGTAATGATGCAGTGGCCTAACGTTCGGGCCAGCGATGGCCCGAACCCGGGCCCGGGTAAAAGAGGGCCCGTTTTTAGGGGATATTTTTATTAATAAGTTACTAATACGACTTGTTAGGATTACACTTTTACGAAGTGAGTCCGGATAAACGTTTTGCGGGCGGGACGCGCTCATTTCGCTGCGCTACTGAAGAGAAGCTTTTAATCGTGACCGAACTTTTAAATTATAATCCGCGACGCAAATTTGTAATTTCCTGATGACCTGCTTGCTACGCAGGAATGGCGAATATTTGTATTGTAAGAATATTTTTGATTCACATGGTATTTTTAAATTAAATGGATTGTGTTCAAAAGAATTGCAACGTTTCAAAACAAAACCCCAAGTATTCATTTTTGAATGAAGATAATTTTAACTACGCATTTAAGAACATTTTCTAAACGGAAAAATTAATAAGCGATTTATTAGCAATAGTAACATCAGAAACAAGTAGTTTTTTGGCTTGAAAGACAATAACTAATTATAAATAGTGGTGCTAAAACAGCACGTACTTTCTCGCCTTTAGTAATGGTTATATCTTTATTTATACATTTATACATTAATTTGTCTCCGAATTAACACCTGTCGTCATTTCTTTTAAAACTTATTACAAATGGCGGGACATTTCGTGCTAAAACGAAATATTTTCACGCAAATATCACCACAAATTTAGCAATTATAACTGGTTTTCATACAGGTACATATGTTTCAATCTCGCAGGGTGTCGAGTTCAGATCGATCGGAGAGAGACAATTTTCGAGAAAAGCGGCTGAACGTCGTAGTCGCTACCGTAGACCATGGTGTGACGTCATGGATACTCACAGCGACCAAAGACACAGAGCTTTCGTATAACAATATATTTATTTACAAGAAAACAG